CAATTTAACCTGCCTTCACCCCACTTCCAGACCCAAATCACTCGTTGAGTAGAAAAGTCTTTTCTCACATAATGTTTGCTACCTTTACAAATCATTTTAAGTCAGTGCCCTCTCAATCTTGATCTTTTTAAGAGTGGGAACAATTTTCCATAGTGTACCCAATCCAGATCTCTCATGATTTTTATAACTTCCATTAGATCTTCTCATAGCCATCCTCTCTCCAAGGAGAACAATACCAACCTCTCTAAATTATCCACATGGCTGTAAGTTTCTCATCTCTAGAATCATTCTTGTAAACCTCTTTTACATTCTCTCCAATGCATTCCTTTAATGCGGTACCCAGAACTGTACACAGTAGTCCTTTTAATAAGTGTCTTATATAGGTTCAGCATCACCTCCTTGCTCTTGTATTCTATGCCTCTATTTTAAAAAAGCCCGAGGAACCTATATCCTTTATAAACTGTTCTCTCCATGTGTCCTGCCACCTTCAATAATTTATGCTTCTTTACATTCAGATCCCTCTGCTCCTGCACCCCCTCAAGTATGGTACATCTTTAATTTGTATTGTTTTTCTATGGTCTTCCTACCAAAATGCATCACATCACAGTTCTCCACCTTTAACTTCATCTGCTGCCTACCTGCTTGTTCTACCATTTGTCTATGTTCTTTTAGAGTTCTACACTGTTCTCTTCACAATGCTTCCAAGTTTTATATCATCCATAAACTTTGAAATTATCCTATGTACATCAATATTTTATCATTAATATAAATTTGGAAAAGCAAAATTCAAATACCAATCCCTGGGGAACCCCACTGCAAATCTTCCTCCTCCTGAAAAAAATTGATCTCTTCAAAAAAACTCAGCCCGTTAGTTCAACATGATTTCCACTTTAGAAATCGATGCTGGCACTTTCTAATCAACCCACCTCTTTCCATGTGACTGGTGATTCCATCCCAAGTAATTGTTTCTAGAAGCTTCTCCACTATTGAAATTAATCTGACTGGTCTATACTTGCTAGGATTATCCCTGAAATCTTTTGTTGACCAATAGTGCAATGTTTGCAATTCTCCTCTGAGACCTCCCCTGAGTCTAGAGAAGGCTGAAAGATTATCATTTTCACTTCCTTCAATATCCTTGGATACATCTTATTGGTCCTGGTCTCTTGTCACCTTCAGTATCAATATCCTATCCAACATTTCCTCTTCACCAATTTTGAACCCTTCAAGGGACAGATCTTCCTTCTCTGTTATGACAGTCTGACTGGCATCTACCCTTTTTAATAAAGACAGATTCATTTTGTACCTCAGCCATGCCCTTTACTTTCACATGTAAGTCCCCTTTTTAGTCCCTAATCAGCCCTACTCCTCCTTTTTACCACCTTTTCAGTACTTAAAGGATACTTTGAGATTCATACAGTCATAACGTCACATTGATCTACAACACTGAAAAATGACCTTCAGCCCATTGAGTCTGTGCTGGCCAAAACAAGCACCTAACTATTCTAATCGCATTTTCCAGCACTTGGTCCATAGTCTTGTAATGTTTGGCATCACAAGTAATATGTAATCTGTCAGTCTTTTCTCATAATCCCACTTTGCATCTCTAATATGCTTTTTTGGCCTCCCTTCTGAATTTTCTGTATTCCTCTTGGTTCTCAACTGTATTTTTTACCTGACACTTCTCATAAGCATTCTTTTTCTTAATTTCTATCTCATTTTTCATCTAGGAAGTTATGGATTTGTTTGCCTTCTCTTTCCCCTTTGAGGAAATATGCTTTGATTAGATTTGAACCATTTCCTCTTTGAGGGTAGCCTATTATTCAGCTGTGACTTTTCCTGAAAACCTTTGTTCCTTTCTATCATGGAATCGTAGAATCCCTACAGTGTGGAAACAGGCCCTTCAACCCAACAAGTCCACACTGACCCACAGAGCATCCCACCCAGACCCATCCCCCTGGAACCCACCTAATCTACACATTCCCGAACACTATAGGCAATTTAGCATGGCCAATCCACCTAGCCTGCACATTTTTGGACTGTGGGAGGAAACCAGACCACCCGGAGGAAACCCATGCAGACACGGGGAGAATGTGCAAACTCCACACAGACAGTTGCCCGAGGGTGGAATTGAACCTGTGTTCCTGGCGCTGTAAGGCAGCATGGCTAAACACTGAGTCACCTGGTCAGCCTAAGCCCAACCCAACTCCAATCATGCCCCATTGAAGTTGGCTCTGCCCTGGTTAATTATTCTTATTTTGGATGAATTATGGTCCTTTACTAACAATACAATGATTAATGTCGCATAAATGTTCCCCACTCTCATGTAATCTTCTTAGCCCACCTCATTTCTAAAAACCATGTCCAAGACTATCCTTTATTGTTGAATTTAATGTTGAATGCTGTGGAAAATTTTCCTAAACGCATTCTAGGAATGTTTGCCCCTCTCTGTCTTTAAGGCTATCACTGTCCCAGTCTACATTTAGGAAATTAAAGTCCCCAGAGGTGAGCCGACTATAATGTTGGCATTTTATTGACATTTTCTTACAGATTTATTCCATTACATCCTTCCCATTAGTTGGTTGTGTATAGACTACACTGATCAATGTAATTGCATACTTTCTGTTTTTTTGGCTCTAGCTAATTGAACGCTAGGATATTCTCTTTCTTCAGGTCTACAATGCCTTTCTTAAACAATATAGTTACCCTCCACCCTCCTTTCCGGCCTTTCCTATCTTTTCTGAACACCTGGAATATTTAACACCGAGCCCTGGCCTTCCTTGAGTCAGGTCTCTGTTATAGCCACAGTTTCACATTTCCACATTTCCACATGATAATCCTTGCCCTAACTCACCATCTTATTGACTGTACTCTGCATATTCACATAATGCACAGTCACCCTGATTTAGACTTCACTACTTTCTCCCTTACTCCGCCCTAATCTATTGACTTTCTATTCTTTACACTGCAGTTATCTGTCTCTCTAAGTATTTTATGCACCCTGGTACTCCACTCCAATATGTTGTCTCAGTTCCCACACTCTTGTCCTCTCAGTAGCGCTATCAGATTGCCCCACAAGGAAATCAGTCCCAGCTCTGTTTAAGTGCAAACTGTCCTGTTTGCATAGGACTGTCTTCTCCACAGACTGTCCCAGTGTTCCAGGAATCTAAAATCCTCCTTCCTGCTTCATCTTACCAGCCACTCATTCTTCTGCCTTATCCAGTTGTCTTGTGTACTCACTTGCACGTGGAACTGGGAGTAATCTGGAGATTAAAAAGCAAAACCTCAAATGTAGTGATTTTCTACTGAGCTCCCTGGATTCCAATTACGGGACCACATCTTTCTTCCTAACCAAATCTTTGGTACCAATAGAGACCATGATTTGTGGTTGTTCACCTTCCTCTGGAAGAATACACTGTGATGACTCTGTGTTGCCTTGACTCGGTCCCAGGGAGGCAAGACATGCAGAGAAATTCCTGACTGTTCACCGAACTAATGAATCCCCTATCAATTTTGCTCCTCCTTTCTTCTTCCTCCTGTCCTACACACTCATTGTTATATGTAAAGCTGGCATGCCTGGGGAGCCCAAACCCTTTGGAGGAATCAATTGTGCCTTTCCCCCTTGTAACTCTGTCATGGGGCATTGGGATTCTTGTTCTAACATACGTCTAGCCTATCGCATTGAGGCCACTTCTAATGAGCTGCTGCCCAGGCAACATGACTGATGGGGCCTTTCCATTGGCAGAAAATGGTTACCATTGGTCACCTGCTGACATGGAGCATGCAACCATTCAGCTCACAGGATTCTCTATGGGTAAGCTCCTGTCTATGGGAATGTGTCAGGTAAAAGTCCCAATGTAACTCTCCCCTATCTTCCCAACTGTGTTCCCTAGCCCCTTCAACCTAATTTTGAGAGGGTCATGAAAATTCCATTCCACGTCAAGTGATTTTTTTCAACAAAGCAGTTTCCTTAATTCCAAACTTGCCACAGGCTGCACAATAGTATGAATGATTTTTGAAGCAAATCACATAGACTAATATATTCAGTTACTTCCAGTTTTTATGTTTTAATAAGACCATAAAATATTGGAGCAGGGGTAGGCCATTCAATAAGCATATAGTTGATCTGTTAATCCTTAACTCCACTTTTCTGCCTTTTCCCCAAAATCCTTGACTCCTTTACTGATTAAAAATCTTCCTATCTCAGCCTTGAATGTACTTAGTGACCCATCCTCTATAGCCCTCTGGAGGAAAGGATTTCACAGTTTCACTATCCTCTGAGAGAAGAAATTCCTCCTAATCTCTGTCATCAATGTGCAACCCTTTATTCTGAAACTATGCCCTCTGGTCCTAGACTGTCCCACAAAAGGAAACAACTTTTCTCTAAATTCCCTGTCAAGTCCTCTAAGAATCTTGTACGTTTCAATCAAGTCACCTCTCATTCTTCTACATTCCAAAGAGTACAGGCCCAACCTACTCAACCTCACTTCATAAGACAGTCCCTCCATAGTTGGTATCAGCCTCGTGAAACTTCTCTGGATTGCCTCTAATGCCAATATGCCTGTCTTCAGGTAAGACACCCAAAACTGATCACAGTGTTCCAGTTGTGGTTTGACTAGTGTCTTATATAGTTTTAGAAAAACCTCTCTACTTTTATACTTCATTCCCTATGAAATAAAGGCCAACATTCCCTTTTCCTTCCCTTTTGCCCACTGAATTTGAACGCTTGCTTCTTGTGATTTTGATCAATGGCAGCCCTCAGGGTTGATATAGAAAGGTATTAAGGGTTATGGTGCCAAGACAGATAACTGGAATCAGACTAACCATTGCCTAATGAAGTGGTGGAACAGGCTGACGTGGTTGTGAGGCCATCTCCTATTCCTGTGTGATAGGTGTTCATGTAAACACACTTCTAAGTTTCAACACGTAGTATTGGGATGTTCCAGCTTTATCACCTTAAAGAATGGACAGCCTTGTACAAACTGCATTCTGTTTGCTTACAGATCACAAGCATTCCATGTCTTGCTTGAAAGTCACCGAGCAATGCATAAAGGATCAAAACGTGTGCAACCGACATCTAACTCCTCAGAAGAAGGCTTGTCCCCAGAATCGTAAACATTGCAACCTCAACAATTGTCACAGAGCAATTCGATCCTTTTATGGAAAGATCTCACCAGATCTTGCTGAGATGTTAGTATTCTGTGGATGCCACCCGTCCGATGAGCTGTGTCTACAGGCAAAGGAAACCCTCCATAACAATTCCTGTGCCAATCACATGGACACAAAGCCAACGTGCCTTCATTTGAAAGAAAAATGCTTCAATGAAGACATATGCAGGTTAGTAATTTGTGTCTCTGCTCAAATCTTACTGGTCAAACAGTCCCAACTCTATACTGTTGGGTTTTGTTATCCCTGTGCCAATCTCTAAACTAAAACAACCACATTTACCAAACAGCCCCAATGAAGAAATTCACCAGAGATAGTAGGAACTGCAGATGCTGGAGAATCTGAGACAACAAGGTGTAGAGCTGGATGAACACAGCAGGCCAAGCAGCATCAGAGGAGCAGGCAGGCTGACGTTTCGGGCCTAGAC